CCAGCTTCCTGATTGGCCGGGAAGCCAGCTCCATGCTCCCTGGTGATGAGGAAACAGGGAGCCGGCTTCCCGATACCGGAATTTTCAGGCTAGGCATCGGGACGAGTACTCGCCCAAGTACTCGGTATCGGCACATCCCTCATTTTTACCATACACGGCTCAACTGTATATCATCCTGTAAGCGGTTTGTGGAATTCTTTCCTTTCCAGGTGTCAGCCTGAAAAATCGGAGCTCTCATTGCACCATAGAAAAACTAGCAGACTAGGTAGCTAAAGAGTAGATTTGCTTTTAAAAACTTTTAGTTTAGAAGCAAAGCATATTAATGAGTGGATTACCTTGTACGAGGTTTCCAATTTCTTCGATTTCAGCATCAGTATTTGCTTCGTTAAGTTGTTCGTTGACTTCTAGGACTTCAAACAGAAATGGTGTATCCACGCCTCCCTCTGTCCCTTCTGCAAAAGTGATGCCATGAAGACCTAACTGTGCCAAAAAAAAAGGGACAAGTAATAATAATTTCACATAAGGTATACAGATTTGCTCTTTACAATATGCATGAAAGCGTACACTATATACTCCCCAATTCAATAAAATACAAAACTAAGTTGCAGAATGCCCACAGACATGGAGAGGATCTGACCACTCTCCTTCACTGCCACAGATGAGAACATTTGACTTGGGCGGAGAATTTGCTTCAAGTGAATGTAAAGTGGTGGGAGAAGAAGGCTTCCTGATCTGTCTGAAGAAGGCAAGATCAAGCGACTAGCAAATCACGTCCAAGGTCAACTATAAGTGCAGAACTCCAAACACCCAAATCAGGTTTCATATCTTGTTAGCTTACAGCAATCATAACAAGGAAAGCTGCCTATTAATGCTTACTGCACTCTGTGCACTGCTCTCTGCATTTCTGAATGAGTTGACTAATGATAGAGAATATGGAAAAACATGAAATAAAACACTACAGGCAGTCCCCGAGTTACATACATTCGACTTACATCCGACTCCTACTTACAAACAGAGGCTATTACTGTACAGCAGGGGTAGTTGTAATGCTACCGTGCTCGTGCCGATGAGGAGTGCCCGCCTTTTTGGGTCTGGTTCGTAGTACTGTACGTACATTACAGGAAGTTGGCTCTTGTTAGACGTGCAGACAAGGGGTGCCCGCCTCTTCTTCCGGGTCACAATTAGGTTTTTACTGCTGTCTGTATCCTCATTAGAAAGATTTAATCTCACTTCCTGTCCTTCAGACAACAGGAAGTGAAAGGAAATCTACCCCTAGGAAGGGAAATCCACTCCTGTAAGAGTGATCATGGGAAAAAGTTGTCTTTTTTCCCCAAATCCAATTATCACAGGGACAGAAAGTGAGTTGAAATCTTCTGAACAGGGGCACACACAACAAAACATACTTTACAGGGGGTAAACCCTTCCCTATGCTATCAACAACAAACAATTTGGGGCTGGAGTTACACCAAAACATGTACCTGTTCCAACTTACAAACAAATTCAACTTCAGAACAAACCTACAGTCCCTGTCTTTTTCGTAACCCGGGGACTGCCTGTACAAATCTTTTTGACATAGGGCTCAAACCATAGTCCAAGTAAAAACAGAGCTCAGTGACACACAAATTAGTGCTAGAGAAAAGGTACTCTACTGCTCTCAAATCCTCTGTTAAAAAGTAAAGTCAACCCTTTTTTTTTATGAAAAAAAGAATAAATTCACACTTTTTCCTATAACAAAAAAATGTGCATTGATTATTATTATTTTTTATAGCTCTGGCTCCTGCAGATCCTCCTTATCACATTTGAATAAAACGCTACTAGTGGAACAGACAGGAGTATGATCATTCCCTCCCTCCCCCCCCCTCCTTCTTCTTCTCCCTTCCCCCCTTCTTCCTATCTCTCTTTTACATTCTCCCTTTCCCACCTCCTCTCCACCCTTTCCCTTTTCCACCTTCTTTCATGTTTGTCTGGCGTGATGTGTTGTTTGTGGTTCCTTGGGCTCTCCACGCTTGTGGGTACCCAGCCCCCAATTTGCTGTTCAATACGTATCCTACGATCCTATGCGGGGGCAAGGACCCTCATATACTTCGTTCACTGTTCTGCTGAATGTTAATGTCCCCCAGGTATTACATTTTATGTGGTGGAAGTTTTATTGGGATTTGTATTGCCCAAGGAATGTGAGATAGATGCTATATCTCGTGTTTGTTGGTTTTATGTTTTATGTACATATGCATCCTACAAGGATGTTTATGTGAAATATCTTTCAATACAAACAATTTCTGTAAAAAAAACCTCTACTAGTGTATGGCTGGACAAACAGGATGAGCATGGCAGTCAGGTGACCTGCATTTGCAGAATAAAGCCATGTTTCCCCAAATAAATGATTTCCTTTAAACAGGAGTTTTTCCTCCTTTATACGTTCTTCATTATGAATGCACACAGGGATGAAACTCTATAGTACACATGTAAACGCATAGTTTCATCATAATAAGCACATCTGTAGAAGAATGCTATAAAAACCTGTTTGCTATATTTAGGGGGACCCCTTAATGGCCAGTGAATTCAAAGGGTGTTTCGAGTTTTCCATACTGTCTTTGCAATATCCTTTTAAAGAACAACTGCAGGAAAAAGGTTTTATGAACCCTTGCAGTGGGGCTACCCGCAGCACTGCAAGAGTTAACTGCTGGTTTCCATCTAGGGACTAAAATAACGTTGTACTCACCCGAGCCTCATGGGTGGGTGGCTGTCACAGCGCTCCCTCCAGCCTCTTCTCCTACACTGCAGTGATGGTATGTTCCTCGGTGTCCTCACATCATATACACTGGGGGGAATTTATCAAAACTGGAGCAGGCAGAATCTGGAGCAGTTGCCCATGGCAACCAATCAGCTTCTCTCTTCCATTTGCTCAGGTAAGATTTGAAAATGAGACAGAGAAGCTGATTGGTTCCATATATTGTCTGTTTCAGTTTTGATAAATTCCTCCAACTGTGTATAGAACGCGATGAACAAGGGACCTTAGACTGCTGCAGTGGAGGGGGAGAGAGGTTGGAAGGACCGGTCTTAGAGCAAGCTGGCCCCTGAGGATCAGGCGAGTATGACCTTTTTATTTTAGTCCCTAGAAATAATCAGTTAACCCTTGCAGTGCAGGGGTTGCCCCACTGCAAAGGGTAATAACAAATTTTGCCTGGAGTTCTGCTTTAAGCCCATATGTCAATTGCAGGAGTTCTACACCTGTCTGAAATAAAAGTAAAGGGACCAATGCCTTCAGTATGAAACTTACCAAATATATTCCTCTGCTTAAAGGAGACAGTAATGTATTGTATGCTTTGTTGACTAAAGAAGACTGCTGATCAGAAATATCCAGCTCGTCCTGAAATGAAATGCAGAAAATAAACTTTACCTGAATAAAGGGACAGTGATGTGATCATGCAAAACAAATCTACAGAATAAACAAAAACCAAGGTGCTAACATCTTCCCATTGACAACTAGGCACCTGGGATTGGGCTCTGTATTACATAACTAATCATTTAGTTACAGCAGCCATTTACAAATAAATGGGTCACAGTTTTATGCTGGCCATTCACTGCTCAAATTTGGGCGGACTTGGCCAAAATACAAGCTGTGGGTGGCCCAGCTGGTATCACCTGGCTTGACAAAAGTCCATTTTTCAATTGAACAATCCGAACCGAACAATACCTGCAGCCAAATCAACTGCAGTCACTGTTGAGGTATTCAGTACACAGTCGTTATACAGTGGCGGCTGCTGGCTGCTAGAATACTATAGCCCCGTGGGGGGGATTCGTCCAGTGACGCTGTTTAGCATAGATGGAGGAATATGTTAGATTTCTTCTGGTCAGCCCTCAGGCTGAACAAAAGAAATCTATGCATGCATGGCCAGTTTTAGAAGAGAGAAGTCAGTGGGAATAACTTTCTCATTTTAAGATCTGCTATAATCTACTGGCTGGACAATGCTTTGGAGTCTCTGTACCTCCTGTCCCCATATCCTTCCTGCTGTCAGTTATGTGCACTAAGGATCAATAATAGATTTAATACAGATGAAGAAGGGGGAATAAAGAACACACTGCCAGACCTCCGAGTTTGGGAGGTTGAGATTTGGCGTATACTTCCTCAAGGCGACAGTAGATGAAAAATAAAGTGGAGCTGGCCAGAGATATTATAATGGAAGCATTGATTGTATTTTTGGAATACATAATATTTCCAGTGATAGGTATAATAATAGCTTATTCAGATCTTTGGGTTTCTGTGAGAATATTACCGTTCCTAAAAAAGGATTTCAATTCCTTCCCATTTTTGAGAATAGATCAGTTCACACTTCACTATTGAAATACAATGCACTTAGACTCCGGCATGCAGCAATAGGCCTCCTTAAAGGAGAACTATGGGGTGCTTTTCCCCATAGTTCTCCTAATGGTCACGGGAGGACATAAACTAGCGTCCTCCCGTCACCCAAAGCTCAGTATACTGCGAGCTACAGCTCGCGGTATACTGAGACCGCTGCAGCCGGGACGGATCCCGACATTACTGTCGAGATCCACCCAGCTGTGTGATTGACAGCTGGCTCTGCCTATCTAGAGGCAGAGCCAGCTGTACCCACCCCTCCCCCGTCCATTCCGCCAGTCAGCGCTGGAGGATCGGGGGGAATCCCTGCAGGGAGCTGTGAGTGACAGTCACGGCTCTCTGCAGGGACAGGATGGAGAAGTGAGCGAGCGCCGGTATGTGTTCGTTCACTTCTCGATCTATTGAGCCGACGTGTGACAGTTTCATTGTCACACGTCGGCTCGAACTATGAGGATGAGTGAAAATCACTCGCCTCATAGTTCTCCTTTAAAGGACAACTCATCACTACTTAAATGCTACTCTGAAGGCACATGTCCTTTTAATCTGAAGTTTTTCACACAAGAGGTCTGAAAGAAGCTGAACTGCATCACTGAGGGTTAAATAAAACTTGTATTGAGTGATCTACAGAGGCTTCCACTGAGAACTTGCTTCTGAAAATGCAAGTTGCCTGGCTGTCCCTGGCTTCAATGCTTTCCGAGTGTTTGAGCTGCTACAAACATGTTACTTGGAAAGTCAGCAGGGGTGTGCAACCGCCCGACACCAAGGACATAAAATTCTGTGTGCCGGGCAGGTGTTTTTCTTCTACATTTAGCCCTGCTGTGAGCATGCAAGGCTAAATGTAGAGTACAGGAGCCGCCTTTCATTTTGGATTTTTGTGATCTAGACGGCTGTAAAGAGAACCTGTCACCTCCAAACACTATCACTCAAAGGCTTGTTAGCCCCTGTTAGATAGCAATAAAATGAAGTGAAAAAACAATAATTAAAAGGAGCGCTAAAGAAGTAAAAAATAATAATAATAAAAAAAAAGAATTACAACCAACCCTGCATGTGAATAAACGCACGCATAAGGCATTGTGTGTGCATGCTGAGTGCTGCCCCCATTCCACTGGGTGCCATATTGTGGTAGCTGGGCAGTAACGTTCTCAAACATGCACATGTGCATTAAAGGTTAAGTTCACTTTCTCAAGTAATTTGTCAAAATGAAATTACCCGTTCAAATCTGGCCCCCCCTCCCATACACCCCCTATATACACCCGCACTATACTTACCTTTCGGCGAACGGTCCTTGCCCTGCGCCGGTACAGGTGTATTATCTATTCCCTGCACTGCCGTCCAGCACAGCCCTGTGCTATGGCTTTGGAATTTTGCTAGCAAATTGTGAGCGCTCATGGGGGGGGGAGGGGGCGGGGGGTTGGGGCTAAAGAACTTATTGCAGAGTTTTGGAACATGCCTGTGACTTCTGACTAAAGTAATCTGGATGAAGTAACCTCTGGAGGTTCCTGTACTTCTTCTGCAGTTCCTGGATATTAACATCAAACGATCGGTCACTGCAAAAAAACAACAAAAACCCTGAAATGAATGCATGTCATCGTTTTACAAGTTGAAACACATTATTCTACATACGCATTACAGAAATAATATTAGTCAAGTAATAAAAATGTTGTAAAACGTCAGAAGGCATTTTTACGCTTCTGTAAGAGCAGCTGCAAGTAGAAACTGGAAAATGTATCCCTATGTTGTAACTGCCATGACTTGTCCACAGGTCACATGCTCAGAATGAATGAATGAATGAGGAAGTGACGCAGAACTGCTACTGCTTCATACAGCACTTCATTATATCCTTCCTTTCACTGGCTCCTTCGTGTTGGGGTGCAATAAAAGAATGCATTACAACATGCATATATAGTCTGTCACGGCACAATAATATCCATACAATATAATATAATAATGGATATATAATATCCAACAATGTGTTGAGTTAAAAGACCTAGTGCTTACTAGGGACCATGCAGGGCTTACTTATGATGAATAGGGAGCTGGGAAAGATCCCACTGAACTGACTTAAATGTGGATTTGAATGTGTGTAGTCTATAGTATGCCATGGAGTTCTCTCTGAATAAATGGAACTTCACCCTAGGATTAATCAACTTTAGATAAACATGTACCTTGAGAGATGCAAAGCACCATGTTTGACTTCTGTATGTGATCCGGTTGTTTAGCAATCAGCACTGTAATCTCCCGGCTATTATCAGAGACATCATACAAATCATGGCATCGCTCAGCCCCCCTTATTCTACCTACGTCTCTGATAACATCACAAAACAAATAGAACAGTTGGGCCCCAGGAGCTGTTAGCTTTGCAGCATTTTAATTGCACCGCAGGCACAATGTGCCTTGCGGTCCCGTGCGGCCTATCGCATTGCGGCCGGAGGGCGTGGCCCGCCACGCCCCCTCCGGCCCGGAAAAAAAGTGAGACGGCCGCAATGCGATGCAGGTCGTTCCGACCAGAATTGGACCGAAACGCACTGCACATGGTGTGAACTAACCCTAGGGGTCCATTCACATCAGTCACTCTGCAAAACGCACAGTGGCTGGTGTACCAATGCGCCGATCCTGGCACATTGCACTATGTACTTTTTTTTTAAAACTCTCTTGAAATGTCACAAGTGCGAGGCGGTTGTTCCACATCACATCCCACTGAGCTGAAAAAGGTAAGGCATGCCATACATTGTCAGCACATACTAACATGTTCCCAATGCATGTGGTGTGAATGGACCCTTAAGTGTTAGCATACATAGGGGGGCATTTATCAAAACTGGAGCAGGGAGACTGGAGAGCAGAAAGACCCATGGCAACCAATCAGCATCTCTCTTCAGTTTGCTCAGGTAAGATTTGAAAATGAGGCAGATCAGCTGATTGGTTGCAGTGCAAATTTGCTCCAGATTTTGTCTGCTCCAGTTTTGATAAATTCCCCCATTAGGTATTAGTACATTGTGGCAGACATACCTACAGAAGCAATCCTCTCCAGCGCTGCTCCCCTTGGTCACGGACGCTTGTATCTTTGTCCTGGCCCTCTCCCAGGTTCTGAGTCTCTAGTCACCTGACTAGCCTTGCCCCAATAATGTAACTACCGTGCATGGAAGTTACTTCATCTCAGCGAGAATCCTGCGTGTGCGGCTTAGCGTACAGTTATAGAAAAAAATGCTGACAGGCAGGGAGAAACTGTGATGGCAGATGAGATTTACACGTCTCTTCTGCCATAAAAAAGCCTGTCTGTCAGCACTTCACTTGTACATTAAAGCAATAATAAAGGCACAGGGTTTTTTGCCTTAAAGTGACACTAAACTCAGAAGTTAGCACTGCATTTAAGCACTGTAACTATTAAAAAAAATGTCTCTTATTTGTGTATCACTCAGCTGTAGATCCTCAAATCATCTCTGACACTGTCCTTCCTTCTGGAGGGTGTCTACTTTTGTTCCCCATGATCCCTGTGTGTACAATGTAAAGTAACCACTGCTCCAAGCTCACTCCTGTGATGGACAACAATCTCACGTTTAGTTTACTAATTTGTATTGAGACTGTAGTCGATCACAGGAGTGAGCTTGGAGTGGTGGTTACTTTACATTGTACACACAGGGATCATGGGGAACAAAAGTAGCCACCCTCCAGGAGGAAGACACACTGCACATAAACCTTTTTCATTGGAGGAGAGGCCAGTCACATGACTGACGGGTCACATGACTGGGTTCGCCTACCCATTTTAATTTTGCTCCACTTGCTTCAGTGGGGCGGGGTGCTGCCACGTTTGTAAACACACCACTGTGCTTTTTAGATATGCGAGGCTCTTTTGTAAAGTAGTAAGGATACACTGCTGATTTATAAATGGACCCCCTATGCCATGGTAACAGATACATGGGCCACTATTGCCAAACCTCTGTCAGCTAGTGTCCTGTCTCTGTTATCTATACTTTCTTAGGTACTGAATCAGAACACGTATGTAGCTAGACATGTGTCCATCGAGTTCAAGCTAGGGTTAAGTGCTCATTTTGGTCTAGGGGGGAAATTACAAAAAAGTTATACCCACCTGATCCTCTGAGCTGGCTTGCTCTTAGACTGGTCCCTGAAACCTCTCTCCCTCTCTGCAGTCGAAGGTCCCTGAGTCATCACAGGATGGGAGGACGCTAAGGGACATTCCATCGCTGCAGCATAGGAAGAGATATTCTAGAGGGAGCGCTGTCGCAGCCGGTTGACTCGAAGGATCGAGTGAGTACCGTAGAACTTTGTTATTTTCCTCCTCCCTAGACCAGAAACAAGCACTTAACCCTTTTGGTGCGGGGCAGCCCACTGCAAGGGGTAATAAAAAAAAAGTGCCCAGAATTGCCCTACACCTGAAGTTGATCCAGAGGAAGGTAAATAAACCCTTAGAAAGAATGGACCAATTTGCCTGGACTGTACAAACTTCCTTTCTGATCCCCCAAGGCACATGTATCCTACCCGGATCAGCAGGCTCCAGGGATCCTTCTCATCAATAGTAATAGCCGGATCCATTTTGTGAATTTATAAACACACCTAGCCCTGGGTCAGAGGGACAATCAGAACTGTATGATCTTTAGTGATGGGCCACCACTTCTAGGATGCCCGGGGGGAGGGAGGGAGGGGGGGGGGCAGTAGATATAACAATGACAGGTACTCATCCCCAGACCCCAGCTTTCAGAACACAGCCTGATGAGCCTGCGATGTACGCTCTTACCAGTGCAGAATCTGGAAGAAGTCTTTGGTGTTATCTGGAGGTTGTAGAGATCTGCAGGAGGGACAGAACAGCTCCGATGTGCTGACCACAGTCTGACAGCTCCAGCACAGGCGGCTATGGCTGGTCACACACAGGCTCCTACTGACACCTGGTCCCAGCCTTGTTGTGATGCCTGTAGCCGGGGAGGACATGGTACTGTATGACAAGAGAGGGGGATGCTGTGATCGGACTGTGACTAGGGGACTCAGCACAGGCTCACACAGTACCATGGACATACGAAACCTCCAGTGACTGGCACAGCGCCTCCACAGTGCCCGGCAGCCTGGCTCCATAGCTGAGCCGGAAGTACGGATCCTCGGTCAGTCCAACATGTGAAGAGAAGACACTATACTGTACACACCATATCCCCGCCATGTACGCCGCACAATTCACCCGAGGTGAAAGGTGACAGCGAACCGCCCACTGCGTGACGTCAGCAGTCGTGATTGGTCAGATGGGCTTAACTGTGAATGGCGGCAAAGGGCAAGAGGTTCATCTTCCTGTTTATGTGGCTGCAGCGAGGTGAGAGTTTCAGTGTACATGTATCGGAGTGTGTTGTTCTTCCCCTTTATACCAAGTCTTTCTCTGTCTTATCCTTCATGACAGGCGTATGTGTATAGGGTAGCACGAGGTGACTATAGTAATACTCCGGGTCTGGCAGCAGATGAGAGCTCGGAATACACGTGGGAGGATGCTACATACTGCATTCTGATCGTACAAATCTTCTGCAGGCATACCAAGCAGTAGATTTGGGGGCTGTAGTAGCAAGGTAGGTAGGCCCCAGTGTTGTGTAGCAACATAGGTAGGCCAGGTGGTTGTCTAGCAAGGTAGGTAGGCAGGCCATGGGGTTGTGGGAAGGTAGACCATGTGGTTGTCTAGCAAGGTAGGTAGGCCATTGGGTTGTGGGAAGGTAGACCATGTGGTTGTCTAGCAAGGTGGGTAGGCCTTAAGGTTGTGTAGTTAGGTAGACAAGCCGTGGGGTTGTGTAGGTACTAGTCCCTGGCACCAAGGGTGATCCTAGCCTTTCTGCTCCCTGAGGTGAAGTGTGAAATAGTGCCCCCCTGACCTATGGCTAACACTGTAGCCATGGCTACTTCAAAGAAAACGCTTCATTAAATGTGTTCGTTGTTGTAATCACGTGACCAAAGATCTGCCATGGTTAGACAGCTTTCAGAGGGGCTGTCCACTCAGATCCACCGCCAACTGTGCCCACCCTTTCACTTGTCTGTCCCTCAAAAGAGCGCTGAAGGAATAGAAAGAGGGGAGGGTGAAATCCCTGTGGGGAGCTGTGCCGCACAGTCGTCGCTCTCTGCATGGAGAAGACTGTGAGCTGAACAATCACTGGTTTGTGATCGCTCAGCTCTTGGTATACAGAGCCGGTATGTGAGATCTGCAGTGTCACATGCCTACTCTAAGTATCGGGAAGAGTACATTTTACTCCCCAATAGTTCTCCTTTAGTGAAAACGATTGAATTATTTTATAATGTGACTAGTCTAGACATCTGGCTTATACTTGGAATTAACCACTTCTACTCCCCTTCCTATGCAGTAGAATTCAGACTGAAAGAGGGAGAATAAATATTGGGAGCTGCAGTGTGCCTGTGCTGACAGGAGGAGAAGGCTGAGATAGTCAGTCTTCTGCTTCTCTTACTGCCCAGCCAAAGGGTGAGGAGGGTAGGGGATTAGGCTATGCTGCTTAACTACAATAAAATATCAGGTCACCAACCTGGCTGGGCTGTGTACATCTGCAGGCTGGTTGGTCATATTTTTAAAACCTGACACAGCTCCAATATTTGTGTTTCAACAGTGTATATAGCTGTTTGCCTTGAGATCAGATTGAGCTTGAGAAGTGCATGTCTGGTACGTGAAAAAAACATGCAGATGCACATTTTTCACGTTTTGTCTCTTTAAAAATGCTGCTGGTACATAAAAAAACCAAACTGTTGATCTGCCAGAAATCCAGTGAGCTTGTTACGCCCTGTAGTGGGCTGACAACTCTGCCTCTGCTGCACTGAAATCACAAGCGGTGTTGTCAGCTCTGCTGGAGTACACAACTTTCCTTCCCCTTGTATTTTTAACATAAGGTGGAGGTGTTATGTAGTTCAGCAGGGTAAAACATTTTGCATACACCGTAAGCAGTTTAACTTGGTCACCTCCCTGCCTCCAGCCTGTGAGCAGTACACTCATGAGGTGTTGTGATTTACATACGTTTCCACACACCACAAACAGACAGCGTTTTGTTTTTCACAATTAAGCCCCAGAAGTGGGCAGACACTTTGGGGGAGAGGTGATAGTTTAATGTCTCTTCCATTTGTTCAATAAAGCTTTTTGATGAGGATGGAAGTAGTGTTCTGCCTTTTTGTATTCACAGTGTGGGGGAAATGATGATGCCCAGATTTTGACTAGCACCCTGGCTGGTATGTGCACCTCTGGGAGGGACCTTTGATCGGTGTTTCATAGCAAAGTGAGCACAAGCAGACGGATATTACAGTTTTGATTACAGGGAATCTATAAGGGCTGATTCACACCAGATGCATTGGGGTTGCGTTGGCCGCTGTTTCCAGTTAAGCCCCAATGCAAGACAGCACAATATGCCTTGTCATGGACTGGCTCGGTTCACATTACCGAGTTTAGATGGGAACGTGGTGGTGTGTGCTGAAAAAAGGATGTGGAACAACTGCCTTGCTCTCCGCTGCACCTGTAGAACTGAATGAAATGTCACTTCTGACATTTTAATAAAGTTCTACTAAGAAAAGAAAAAATACAGTGCAATGTGCCGCGATTGGCAAACCAGTATTGTGTCGGGCAAGCACAACAGCAGCTGCTGTGAATTGACCCTGCATTCACACCTATCTATAAGATCCTTGGTCCCGTCATTCACACCTATCTATAAGATCCTTGGTCCTGTCATTCACACCTATTTATAAGATCCACGGTCCTGTCATTTACACCCATCTATAAGATCCATGGTCCCGTCATTCCCACCTATCTATAAGATCCTTGGTCCT